TCGAATCATGTTTAAAGTGGGAACTTTACTTTCTTTATACATATTATAAATTGTGCGCCGCATTACATCTGGTTAAATAGTCAATTTTTGGATATCTTAGTTAATTCGTTAATCCGTTTCCTAACTTTTTTATCACTTTGTTCACTATTTTCAATTTTCAAACATTCATATATATTTAATATAATACGTTGACTTTTTACGTGTAAATCTTTGTTTTTAAACTCTAAGTTTGTTTCGATACTTTCGACAAAAACCGGTTCCACTATTTGGTGGAATTTTCCCGAGTTATTTCGTTATCCTCCGCTTCAAAGAGTCTCCAGAGAGCCAAGCTAAATTACTAGATAATTACATATAACATTTATTTTAATAAGTTACCAACACAGGTTTGCTTTGATGACTAGCGCGCCGCTGTCAATTCTACATCAGGCGGACTAGTTTACCAATTCCGGACTCGCCGAATTGCTGTTCGAGTATAAATTACGAGACACATCATGGTCAAAGCATAAGAAGAAATTTCAGGAGAAGTGCATACGCTCCTGTGCTGTAAGATTTACAGGTTCCAATTGACATCGTAACTAACTATAACTATTTATATGGTATCACCACACGCAACATTTTTTTTGATACCCTCCAATTTTTATGTTAACGTTCTTTTTGTATCTCGAACAAAAACAGAGATATCACACTATTGGGCACTGTTTAGAACAGCTTTAAGGAGAAGTGCTGTACGACTCTGTTTTGGGGGTCGAGATTTTGGGAATACGCGCCCGGGAAATCTCCATTCCCGCCCTCTCACTCGGAAACAGTTTTCCCTTTAGCCCGCCATGCGTGAAATGCCAGGACTTTGGTTTAAAACCGTTTCGGGGCGGCGGAATGTCTACGGCAGGACGGATTGATTCACTACTTCTATTTTTTGTGGACATTATCTGACACAAACAGCAGAGAACGTGATTTTTTCGTGTTTCGTTGCGTCCGGGGGACGTCGGCTTAATTCGACGGCATTTTTCACCCGATTCGAGAGAACGATCCGGTACTGCAAACACAAATACAACGGATATTATCTGGGGAAGCCTGTCGTCGTTTCATACAACATGCTTCGAAGGCGAACATAGAAAGATGCCTTTGAGCTGTTGCGTTGCCTACACACATATTTTTAAGTATCTGCGATGCTCGAAAGGGTTTGGGAATTTATATTTTTTTGACAAATGTATATTAGACCAGGACGGATCTGTTTTGAGGTGGATGTGAGAGGGGGCAATTTTTTCTGAATTACCTTCAGTACAACTCGCATAATAAAAGTGTAGATTCAAAATTACAAACATGTTTGCAAAATGTTGTTTTTAAATTTCTTAGTGACACAGCACACGAATGTCAAGCTCTAGCAGAGCAAAACAGTTTTGGACAAGTTACATAGACCAGAACAATCGGTTCTTTCTACATCGACACTTGAACAGTTTGTCGAAGCAGTTTTCTTCATTGTATCACGAACAAGAGCCCTTAATGCTTTTGGCATCGGCGTGATAGACCGGCAAAGAAGATTACCCACGAAATCCCCCCAATAAAATCCATACAAACCTCGTTTAGTCCGCTAATTCCAGACTTTATGGCCCCATTAACTTTTCGAAAGTGTATCTTACACAGATCTTACGTGCTGGTTAAGAACCCACATTATAATACCAATATTAATTTTATAGGCGGAGCATAAATCAGATCGGCTTCCATTTACGACTCGACATCTTAAAAATCATAAAAACTTTTATGGCTCGACGATAATAAAGCTTAGCAAATACTCCTTTCGAGTATCACGCTCGAATTCGCGCCTCGCTGGGAAGGAAGTATACGCTCGGCAAAGAACTAAGAGGAGGCGGTAGGAAGTCCAGTCGGAATCAGTTTCACGCGTTAACATGGTCGTATATTTCACACAGTTTACTTGTTGTGCTAGTAGTAGTATTTATTCTCCCTAATTTCGAAGCATGTTATGTCAAAAAGGCACAGAATGAAAGTTTTGAACGTCTTTGTCGAAATTGTAGTCTTTATGACGACTTCTCCTTAATATACAGGGTGTTCCATTGAAAATAACAAAGTGATGTAGCGCCCACACAAAATGGAACACCCTGCAAAGCTAAAAATATTTTTTTTACATGACCCACATTATTCCTGGCAACTTTTATTAAAACCATTTTTTATAAATTTTACAGTTACAGAAGAATCGCTCTTAGGTGAAGCACCCCGTATTAAGAACTTACTTTACATTCAAAAAGGAATATGTAGTCGTCTTGTTTATTAACCTCGAGCTACATTTGTTTTAATACACTTCTGCAAAAAATTAAGGGAGCAAAAAAATTTTTCGAATTTTTAGTGATTTTTCAGAATGCTGTATCTCAGTTAAAAATGATCGTATCAAGGTTTTAAAAAAAGCATTTTAAAGCGCCGAATGTCTAGTTTCCAGATTTATTAGCTCAAAATTTTTAGGAACGACAGTCATCGCGAAATTCTAAGAAATAAGAGTAAAATTTTTTTTTTTAATTTTTTGCTTTTTATCTCGGTCCACGGGCTTGGAAAAATTTTTTACACAAAAATCATGATATGGAATTGATAGCCTGTTCATTCAGCTTTAATTTCTTTTTTTAAATTTTTCTCTACGTTAATTAGACCCGAAGATATTCGACTACGAATACAAAAGCATCCTTTTGGCTTTAACCATCGATATATCAGACAGAAAATTGACGGGCAGTTTCGAAATCTCGAATAAATTTCCTACAAGACTATGTAGTGTTCTTGGAAGAAAAAAAATTTCTTTCATCCTCGACATTAACTTGAAAAAAGTGAAAAAAAGTGATTTTTTGACTTGTTTTGCTAAGTCGACCGCATCTTTGCTAATATCGATGGAGAGTCTAATGCTTGTACGAATTTTTACACCTCGATGTACCCCCAAAAGCTCCATAAATAGGCAGATCGATCTATCGAACGGTTTTTCCGGACCGCTTAATCAAAATTTCAGAAAAATTTAAAGGAGCAAAATTTACATTTCTGAGCACCCTGTAACGTTCGTAAAAATGAAAAATTTGTTTTTTTTTTTTTAATTCTTTCACAATTTTTGCTCATTGAATTTGAAAAAAAAATTAAGTTTTGAAAAAAAAAATTTACTCTACTTTATTTTTTAACAACTCAAGATAAAAATATTGAGTCATTTTTGAAGCGATGTACTCTTTCCGTACCGTAATTTCCGTTATTTTGAATTAACGAAATTGATTAAAAGTTGATGTCGAGGATGAAAGAAATTTTTTCTTCCAAGAACACTTCATAGCCTTGGAGGACATTTATTCGAGATTTCGAAACTGCCCGTCAATTTTCTGTCTGATCATTAGTTGCTGAGATATCGATGGTTAAAGCCAAAAGGGTGCTTTTATATTCGTAGTCGAATATCTCCGGGTCTAATTAACGTAGAGAAAAATTTAAAAAAGGAATTAAAGCTGAATGAACAGGCTATCAAGTCCATAGCATGATTTTTGTGTAAAAAATTTTTCCAAGCCCGTGGACCGAGAAAAAAAACGCAAAAAATTGAAAAAAAATTTGTTTAGTCTTATTTCTTAGAATTTCGCGATGACTGTCCCTCCTAAAAATTTTGAGCTAAGAAATCTGGAAACTAGGCATTCGACGCTTTAAAATGCTTTTTTTAAAACCTTGATACGATCATTTTTAACTGAGATACAGCATTCTGAAAAATCACTAAAAATTCGAAAAATTTTTTTGCTTCCTTATTTTTTTGCAGAAGTACCTATATAATTAAGTCAGTTATTAATTTTATTTACCATGATTAAAGCGTCACCCCCACGTTGGGCGCCAAAAAAACACTTTTTAATTGAAAAAAGGGCGATTTATATGTTTCACTGAACCGCGTCGTAGAAGCTTCCATTATTTTGTACGATTTTCTGATGTATGTTTGGTGATATTAAAATCTGAAGCATGTTACAAAAGCAAAGGAACCTAAAAACGAAAATTATAATTTTTTTGGCAGTTCAAGGGTTCAATCTTCACGATATCCTGATCAGCGCGACAAAGTACCGACGTTTAATTTGTATTCGGCAGAATGAGCCCAACCGTTTAAAAAGTCTGTCATAATAGACCGAGAACTCGACAGGGCAATAGTAATTAGGACCTATGAGAAAAGTAAATGATGTTAATAGCCGGCAGGGCGACGTCGAATGGCTGTGATTACCTTCGGGGGCTTTATTGGTCCAGGACCAAGGAAGTAGGACGACGGAAAGAGAGTTCAAGTAAAACCCAAACTTAGAAGGCTTGAAATATTAGTACAAAACAAAAATTCGCAGATGTTGGTAAGGTATTAATTGTTTCGATTCCATTTTAAGTCCCTCAGGGTTCAGTTTTGGAACCGCTTCTAATATAAGCTTTCCAGGCATGACTTTTTTACAATAGTTTATAAGTAAATTTAGTATTGTTCCATTGTTCTTCAGTTTCATCTCCAGAATTACTCCAAATAAATCTTCTTCGCCAGGCTTTTTGTCAAACCTTTCTTGAAGAAAATAAAACAAGAGATACAATACTTGTTCTCGCCCAAAGAACATAACAGAAAAAGCGCTAGTCTTCTGCCTTGGATTTGTTCTTTTTGCCGTTGTATACTCGTATTGATTCATGCATCTGGCAAGTATTATTTAATATGCGATTTTGTGGTATTTGTAAATCACATGTCAGGGCCATTGTGGGATGGTTCAAAAGTTCAACGAATACCATTTATCTTACTCGTCTAGTTTTGATATGTCCATCAGAAACATGTGTTCTTCATGTATTGCAAATTCTGTTTGCGGTGAAATTTGAACAAATTGGTTGGTACCTTTAGTTAAAAAAAATATTCACAATCAGAAATATACTACAACTATTGCATTAAAGTAAAAAAATTGTATTTTTTAAATCATGTCTAATATTTTACTACAACTACTAAAACTACCCTTCATTTTCTATATTACTTTATTTGTTCAATGTATAACAAGTAAAATTCATCAGGTACAACAATTAAATGTACAAAACATGTTTATAAATTTTCAAATATTGTGAGAAATTTACAGTCCACAAACTACAAAATCGATCCTTTGACTGAACCTCCAAATACATACTCTGTAAAAAAATTATCACAGTACTACTACCTACAAATCACTAGTAAACACGCATACAAATTAAAAAATATGTAAAGTGTCCAAAAATCTTAAGCTGCCTAATTTTAACTCTTTTCCCAGGCAAAAGCTAACATATGTAACGTTAGGGACGGTACAGTTTCTGTGACTAATTAATATATGCAGTAAGCATTCGCAATACATTTTAATTTTTATTGTCACGTTTCGGACTCTTTACACATTTTATAGAAACTCGTGGACTCGTCTTGGATAAGTTTCCTGGGATTATCGTACTCCACCAATCTACCACTGTCTAAAACCATAACCAGATCACAATTTAGAATTGAATGCAGTCTGTGAGCTACTATCAGTATTGTGCATTGAGAAAATATCTCTTCTATAACGTCGTGCAGCATTTTATCGGTAACAGGATCCATGTTAGCGGTGGCTTCGTCTAGTACCACTATTTTAAATTTGCCAATAGCTGCTCGAGCTAGACATATAAGTTGCCTTTGTCCTGAACTGAAGCTCGATCCTTTCTCTTTTACTTCGAAATCCAGGCTTGGGATCAGGTCTTTTATTTTTACTCTATCTAGGACTTTCCATATTCTTTCGTCTGTGTACTTTTTCTTTGGATCTATGTTGTCCCGAATTGTCCCAGTGAACAGAACGGGGTCTTGAGGTATTATCGCTATATTGGATCTAAAAATAAAGAAGTGATGAACTGTTGATCACTATATTAGTCTAGTGGTACCCACCTTAAGAATAGCAGGGATAAACTGCTGATATCTACTCCATCTATCCAAATTTTGCCTTCATATTCGTAGAGTCTAAACAACGTCGACAATATGGAAGACTTTCCAGCACCAGTTCTTCCTACAATTCCAATCTTCTGCTTTGGTTTCACAGTGAAATTAATATTCTTCAACATTGGGTTCTTTGAATTCTCATAATACAGCGAAACTTCTTCATACTTTATACTACCTTCGCTAGGCCAGTTCTTAACGTCGTTGCCAGAGACGCTCTCTTGTTTGATTTCCGTATATTCTAGAGCTCTCTCCACTGACGTCATGTGGTTCTCTAATTGGGCCCATTGATTCATACCCCACTGGATATGGTGGGACAGCATGAGGACTTGCGTTAGAGCTAGACCCACGTTACCAGCAGAAATGTCTGTAAAATTTGAAATGGAATAAAGAGCAGTTGCAAAATAATAGATTAGGAATTACCATGTTCGAAAAATAAAAATCTTGCTATCACCGTGATCATAAAAATGGAACAAATGAAGTCCATATAAAAAGCAAAAGCACTGGACGAGCATATCCGCATAAAAAAAGCAGAGGTGAACAGGTCCTGATGTTTATCAAATTCGTTCGTTAGTATTTGCTCTGCTTTGAAGGCTCTGATCGTCGTTAACCCTTCCAAGGACGAATTTATATGGCCCACTAAAGGACTTCTTGCTAAAAGAATCATACGTGTTTATCATGCTTTATTGACAATGATGTTGGCATTACTTGCAGCTTCCAGTCGCTTCAAACTTCGTCCTGTTGGCATGTATATCGTTCGTATAAGTAACAGAATAACAAACAATAGAGAAGCTGGTAGCAGAAACATCCAGTTCACTGTTGCTATTAAAATTACAGCACCGATACAGCTGAAGAACACCTAAAACGAAAAATTTTTAAACTCGAAAGATGTTACGTTTTTTTGGTAGATGATTTTTGGTAAAAGTGAAACTGTTATTGAAATGGAAAATAGAACTGAGGAAGCTTACCCCAAACAAACCGGGAAACACGAAGGGAAGGCTCTCATCTATATTATTCAAGTCAAGGGAGAATCTGTTAAGTATATTTCCGATAAAATGCGTATCAAAGAACGACATAACGGCGTTAACTACTCTGGTCGACATCACTCTATGAATATTTATGGATGCGCTGCGACAGAACCTTAAAAGGGCGTAATACTTTACTAATCCCAGCGTTGCTTTGAGGATTACCAGTATTGTGTACACGCCGAAAGTATCGTCCTTCTTAGAGACTGTATCTTTGTAATATGTCTCATTCACTGTTGCATTTAACTGAAGATCTAATACTTTCTGCTGCAAATCGATCCTAAAATTATTTTTTTTTTGTTACTTACAAAAGTGATTTAATTCATTGTTACTTACCACTGCGTGATAAGTTTTTCAGCGAAACTCTCGCAAGTTTGAGCAATAACATACAGGAAAATCACACAAGAAAATATAAGGAATCCTCCCCCCAACTGGAAATACCTTTTATATACAATTAATTCAACTTTCCCAACTTTTTTCGTTTCGTGATACACCTGCTTTCTGGAAGATTGTTGCTCTGTTTCCAAAAGTGGAATTTCTTTTTCACTTCTGTCTGGTGTGGTTGGATTTAATTCCTTTTCTTCAAATTTACTGGAAATGCCGTTGATTTTTGTTGGTATTATATTGTCTGGCTTTTCAGAAATTAATATCCTTCCTTGGTCCATAACCAGGACATTGTCGGCTTGTTTCATGTGGTTGACGTTTTGTGTTACCAATACGCATACCTTGTCACTTAGGAACTTTTTAATACACTCATTGAAAATATAATCTTGCACATGTCCATCTAAAGCGGTCAGAGAGTCATCTAGCAAGTAAATATCGCTAGTTCTATAAATAGCTCTGGCCAAGTTGACCCTACATTGCTGCCCTTTGCTCAGATTTAATCCTCTGTCCGCTACAACTGTTTCATCTCCTTTCTCAAAAAGAGACAAGTCGTAGTTCAAGGCACAAGCTCTAATAACTTCTTCGTATCTTTTTGCGTCGTATTTTTCACCAAACAGTATATTTTGTTTGATAGATGATGGGAAAAGCCAAGGGTCTTGTGAAGCATAAGAAACAGTTCCCCATACTTCTAGATCACCTGGAATCAGACACAAATCTACAACAGTTCTAGAAGCATTCGGTTTCTTACCTTTCGATGTGGGATAATCCTGAAGGATTGCTTTCAACAACGAACTTTTTCCTGACCCAACAGCTCCTGTAACTAAAGTTAGACTTGCGTTGGTTATCTTTAAACTGACACTACTCAAGATCTCTTTATCTTTGATGTGAACAGTCACATCTTTCAAATAAATCGATGGTTTTCCAGACAAATTTTCTTCACGCTGCTGTATTTCTTGGCTCTGTAAAAGCTTGTTCAGTCTGATGAAAGCAGCTCGAAATTCAGCTACTTTAGAAATGTTTATAGGAATATGAATCCCAAAAGATATGGTCAGTTGGTGGAATATACTGAGCACGTAGAAAATCAATTCGGTGTTCGTGGTGTACCCCATCCAAATGTAGGATAGGATTAGTATGAGGAAGGTTACTTTGGAGGTTAAGATGCCTATGCATACTATGACGATGTGGATGTAGAATGCCCTCATCATCACCGTTACTTCTGTGCTAAAAATTATAAAAGTGAAAGAGATAATAGCAGAATCAGCGTTGAATGAGTGTTGTGTTTATAAAATTTGGGATATGATAGGTGACATAATACATACTTCCTGGACTCAGCTATCTTATTATTGAAGAACTTCTCCCAGGTATACATTTTTATAATTTTTATAGCAGACAGAACCTCTTGAGTGACCTGAAGTCTCTGGTCGGAATTCTTTCCGACCTTCAGTCGCATCTTGGTGAGCAAATTACTGAGACAAACTAAAAAGCAGTGCTAGTATTATTGTCATTTTTTAGATGTCGTTTTTACTTACTTTGTATGGGCAGTGCCACAAGAAGTAAACCAATACCGATAAAGGCAGAGTTGCCAAGTCTAGACCAAAGCAAATAACACGAGGTCAGAAACTGGATGATATAAACTATCAAATCCATAATCAGCCATAAATTCTCTTCTACTGATTTTATGTCTTTGGTAAGGATAGTGACGATGTTTCCAAGGTTAGTCTCCGAAAAAGAACTAGGAGCCAGTTTCAAAGATTTTCGGTATAGCAATGACTTTAAGGATGTGCGTATATTCAAGGCTAAGGTGTATTCGTATATGAAGATGTTATGGTTGAATAAAAAACTAAATATATTCAATGAAATGACGGTTGCTGCGCAGTAGTAGGCGCTGGACTTCGTTATCTTGGTTTGTCCTTTCTCGAAGTATGATATGAGGCGACTCATGGTGTAAGGCTGCAAAATGCTGAACCAAAAAGTATTCACTTAGTTTTTGTCGTCAATGCTGTTAACGAGAGTAGTTAAATTATACTTGTATTACCTGTAAATTTCCTTCCAAACGATAGTAATGATGCCTATAACAATGAAAGTCTTTCCAAATCTTTTCCACAGGAGCCTGTATATTGACGTGGACTTTTTCCATTGCTCCTCAGTTCTATCACCGCATTGTTTCGACTTGCAGTTTTTGATGACTTCGTAGACGTCGTCTTCCTCTAAATCTTTCCGAAAGCCCCTTTTGAACAGTCCAAATGTGTAACTGTAAAATCGAAATACAATCAAATTTTGATACATATACTCTTTCAGAGAGAATGACCGATTAGATTACGACATAATCGTTGGACCGTTCTCTCCGTCCGAAATATATTGGTAGACAAATTTGGAGTTTTTATTCGATATAGGTCCCATATTTTAGTACACCACTGTTTCAGACGTCATAAGTCACGAGGATTGTATTGTTATGCAGAAATATGTAGGTATACAAGAGAAAGCGTTAGAAAAAAAGTGAAAGTAAAATGTGTATCTAAATCTTTAGGTACGTGCGTAATATAAAAGTAGATCAATATTTTATTAATGTCTATATCTCTAAATTAAAAAAAAAAAGAAATAAATGATTGAATATAACGTCAGAACTATATAATTTTTTTTCCATCCATATATTCTAGATGCGTATTTAGTTGTTTCTCAATTAATTCACTCACTTTCGAAAACTATTCCCACCTCGAGGAAAGACAATACTAGAACTGTGATCTAACTCATTTAATTTTGTTTCTATTTCTTAGATTGTTAAATTAAAACATCGCAGTTCCAGATAAGCATACTTAATTAATCATTTTGATTAAATCAACATTTGTAATTTTGAATAAGCAACAACGTATCTCATTTAATCTTCCAGTGCCCCTAGGCTTGTATCACGCTGTATAACGTCCACAACACTTATTTATTTAACGCAGCAACAGTCTTTTTTGTATTTCTTGACCACCAAAACTTGAAAGGCTTGTCTGCGTCATTATATAGTTAGTATTATTAACGTTTCCCTCGCACCAAACTAGATAATTGGAGTAAAAAGCATAAAAACCAAGCTCTTACCCAAAAGTGAAGTAGGACAGCACGTTTGCCGTCTCCCTCGGGTTGGTCTTCCTCTCCTTCCGCAAGCAGTGATCCATATCGCACCACGAACAACGAACTACCCGAAGAAAATAACCATCGCACTAAAACAGACGAACCACGTTAAGAGGCGGCTCACGGATTAACATTGATTTCATAATACAGTCCTAATTGTTTAATGCCTTGTTCTAATTTGGCGTATCCTCATTATCCGCTTCAAAATTTAAGTGATACTAAACGCAAGAAAATCCCGCGCTTCACTCTCTACGGCGCGGAAAAAAAAAACAGTGCCAAGGCTGGGGCTATTGCCGCGGACTATCGTAGGTACCTTTCCGAGCTGGCGAATTTATATGTATGGCAAGTGTGGACCGTGACCTGCTTGATTGGATCCTCGGGTTACCCAGGCCCGATCATGGCCTGGTGATTGATTTCTTGTTGTGCTGTTCGCGTTGGAGTCGTGTCAAAGCCAGCTAGGATGTAAATCGGAAAAGGGGGACGGTGTAGGTCAGATGTTTTAACGGAGAAGGGGGTTGCGTCCATTTGGAATATTAAAAAATTTCAATTCCTAACAGATGTAGGAATTTAATAACATTTTTATAGCAAAAAGTTGCAGGCTATTTTGCGGAGATATTTTTATACGGATATTATGTATAAATAATCACTGTAATGGTTGAATTCAAATAAATGTTTTACTCGATTTTTTTATACACGGTTCTTTTGAAATACTTAATTTGTCCTAGTAACAATTTGGCTATAAAATGTTTAGCATATCTGCACTTTGCACAGAAAATAGGCTTATAATTTATAACATCGCGTATGGTACACTCTAATTTTCTTGCAACTTGTGCTTGGTATTTGATTGGGTGTTAGCGAAGTCAAAAAATTGAATTTTGAATAGGACTTTCGAAAAATTCACAAATATTTATATAACAGTAATAGTAATCGGTCATTTTCGTATACCTGTATTACTCACTACTCACGATTCTCATAATTTGGCAATTTTAATTTTGGATCGTACATCACACGAACTGGTCAAGTAGTCAAAGTCGACGTTTGATCACATCTCTAACGGGAATTATTGGTTTTCAAATGATCTATGATATATTGCAATTTTTCAGTCACCCAAAAACCCTTATGGAAGACCTACCCCTCATAAAAAACCCTACCCCTTATAGAAAAATTTCCTCAGGAAAGGTAGTCTTGGAGCTTACTTTTGAGATTCTAACAGTCATAACTCAGTCAAATTTTGTCCTACAAAAATTTAAAAACAGCAAATTGTCCAGTAAGAAAAAACCTACAATTTCTTATTCTATCATTTTTTTTATAACTTTGTTAGTTTTTCAAATATTTTGGAAAAAGGCGATTTTTTTTTAAATTGAATTATTTTATTCAAAAGTAAATGAAATATTTTTTTAAATTTACGCTTCTCAAATCGTTCAAATTCCCAGAATCTACTGTTAATACATAAATAAAGTAAATTGCAGAAGGAATACGTTTAATTTTTTTCGTGTCAAGTCATTAATTTTAATACCGATTTTTTTATTTCTCAAAATCAAGACAATCATTTTATTTTGATTGTAACTTCATTCACCTACAAAAAAAAGCAATCTCTTTGCTATTTAATTACCTTCATTTTTGCTTATGATAATTTTTTTGATAAAACTTGCATTTTTGGGCTAAAAAGAACATATTTAGGCGCAGATAACCCAAAAAATATTGACTGTACAAAAAATTTTTATAGAACACTTTTTGCTTAGAAATCGTCCCTCTATCGAATCGCGAGGTTATTTTTAATAAAAAAAATTCCCATCCTCCAGAAGGGGTGGCATCCACCCCCAAGGTAAAAGCACACATCGGCACTATATAACTTTTGTTTCTTGGGCTATTCCCTAGCTACAGTTGAAATTTCACGTCAGTCCATTCCATCCGAAAAAAATGGTAGGCAAAATGCTTCAGTAGTGACTGGATTATAAAAATGTTGATGAAATACTTAAAGATATTAAATAGCGCGCACTTTTACAGTTAAAAGAATATAGAAATAAAACGGAGTACTTTTTTGTAAAAAGTTGTAAAAAAATAATTCGTTTAAACGTTACTAATAAAGTCAGCTTACTTTACCTTAATTGAAACGAGAAATAGGACTGAGAAAACTAATTAAAAACGTAAGTTAAGTTGTGAAGGCCAATTCCTTGTTTAAACGCAAATGCCTGCTTATTAATAAATAAATGCTGACAGGATTCCACTTTATGTAAGTGGTAAATTTAATCAGATACGCAGTAAAAAAAAGTAAATAGCTATTCTTAAGTAATTACAAACTTATATACAGGGTGTCCCATTTCTAATATCGGGAACTGGTAGAAACAGAGTGAAAAATTTTTAATAACATTTTTTTGTCTCTTAAACTAAGATACCTTTTGGCCTTTCGAATTTTTTGAACTCCCTGTAAAAGTTTTTGAATTATAAGACTATTAATCAAAGTTTCAAGAAAAGCAAAAATTTTATAAAGAATGCCGGAAAACAAACTAATAATCTATATTTTATGCTTTTAGGTATATCTAGCACTTTTAATACATTTTGTTTGATCTCGAAGGAACATAAAAAATTGAATAGAAACTATATTTGTAGTATTTTGGAAAGGATAATGTAATGTGCTTGTTTTGATTCAACATAGATACTCTCCAACAAATACTGCCGTTTTTACGAGAAATTACCATTTGCCCGTGTACGATCAAAGCTGAAATCCGAAGCTCGGCGTTCAAAATAAACTCCGAATCCATAATTCGTCAGCCAGAAGTTTATAAACTACTCCCGGAGCTCTAAATATTTTCCCCCGTTTCCCTTACCCGCACAAAACAGTTCGTGGCATTAAATCGAGTTTTCATCCACCGAAACCTGGAAGGCTAAGCCCTTCTGTCGTTTTATATCAGCTAAATCTCTATTCAGGGCGTAGCTGAGGCTCGAATTGATTTCTGCTTGTTGGAGGGCTAATAAAATTTCCGATGCATGGGGTGTTTACCGCAGGGGCATCATTTAGTTATGTATACGGGATGCGCCCCTTGCGGCATCCCGCTAGCTTATACAAAGTCGGTGAAACGAAGCTATATTAAAACATATTAACGTCTAAAATATTATTTCTATAACAAACATCTCATATAATTGTAACAACTTAAAAGGAAAGCATGTAAATGTTTTTGTTACAATTGACAGTAGTCTGGTGTTAATTGTAACACGTCAAGTGGAATTGTAACATACTGTAAAAACTATCCAATAATGCATAGGTTTGAAATATCATCTTAGAGACAACACTCCTAATTGTTGACATTGCAACTAGCATTGACTCTAGGACTTACTAAACAAATACGTTTATTTAATTTAAATTGTCGCCGGGTAGAAGGAAAGGAATGCCGCTTAAGTTCTGTATTAATAATCCGCCATAAATCAGCTAAACAGAACCCCCCAGCAAGACCAAAGCGAATTTTCAATTGAAAGGAAACCGCGGTAAAACGCCAGTCATTCACCTCATTCATAGCTCCATCCATTTTCGTACACATTTACCCAAAGAGGAACAATTTCAGAGCCTGTCAAGATCGAATGGAATATTTTTAAATTAACAACATCTATTCCGCTTCCGTGAACTCCGAATGGGATTATGGTAAAGAATCGGATAATAAATTTTAATGCAGTAAGAAATTGCCTTGCTAGGCAGCGTGATTTTAAGTCAATAGTTCGCAATAACAAGCCATCGCGTTAAAAATTAAAACTATAAGTAAACGCGCATCTTTGAACTGACTATCCGCATGTAGCTTCACTTGAATGTTGTTTATGAATGGTTAAAATGCAAAATTAAATCCACTTGCACTGCTAACAATAATTAAAGCAGAATTGAACATTATTTACAACATACCTTTTTAGTGCTTGTCGAATACACACCCAAGGTACACTAAATTATTATCAACAATAGTATTAATTGACAACAAAATAAATATGCAAGCAGACAGCACGAAAGCTTCTTTATACAATCCTTGTACCAGTATTCGTATACAGGGTGGAAGTATGAATGATTCCTCAAATTATATCAAATATTATTTATCTTACTAACTACAGAATGATTGTAAATGTAAATGTTGTTGTAAATTGTTCTTATTTGTGTATCTGGGATCAACAACGGTTTCTTCATAATTAAACTTTTCCCGAATTCATCGGCAGCTTTCCACGTTCCACCGTGTACACACGGGCACATATACCATCCATAAATTGTGTGTGGCACGCAGTGGACACACATTAAGAATCCTTTTTAATATTTAATAGTGATTTAATGCCTCCGTACCACCGTGGAAGTCGGAGAACCAGAGTTAAAAGTCATCGTCACTTGGTTAAAGGATAAATATTTTGTTTGTTCAGTCACTTGAATTAAATTATTATTAAAACACCGTGCGCCAGAAACACCACCGGTTTATTTTATTAAAGGGCAAAAAAAATGTTTATCTTCTTTCCCCTGACAGAGATTAGAGTGACTAAGTTCATGTAAACAGTACAAGAAAACTATAAAAAATGTTGAATATAAAAAATATATGTATTTATAATTAGTTTTATGTGAAACCAGTTTGTTGTACGCTGTTACATCACGAAACTAATTGTAAACTAAAACCTCTCTTAAAACCATCATTTATGTAGTAAATACTTTATAATCACGGTAATATTCTCGCGAGGACTTTTTTAACAGTAGTAATCTACGTCATTAAAATTTCATATTTCAAACGAAGCAATGTTGAACCTACTCAGGCTTCGTTAACAAGCTTAGTCGACGTAATGTACATTTTGGTCAATTTATAATGCAGTTAATTTAGCTTACATTACAGCGCACTTGTATGTTTTAATGATTGTACAGTAGATGGCGCAAAACCAGAAGCCCATATACGTTCTACTAACATCAACTACGCTGAGTTTTTAATTAGTTTTCTTTGATATAAAGGGTGCCTAAAAGAGATCTACATTTTTTTATATTTAAGGTAGATGCACATAAATTTAGTTTTTTTAAATTTTATATAATCTACTCCGTTAGAAGCCTCCAGCACGTGTGGGGCTTATTGTAAAGGAGCATAAACTGAGATTCAACTGATTAAGTGCGAGTCGAAAGACTGGTGGCAGTATGTTGTTATTCTTATTAACCCAGAGCGTTTGAAGTCGGTTTTTGATTAAGAGGTTTGATAAATGACGCTAAACATTCCAAACATATTAACAATTTATTAGAGTTACTATTTTTATCACCATTAGATGCCAGCATTTATGTGTGACGGACAGTAGTTTACAGAAGTGTAACAAGGAATCTGCAATAAATATTGAGAATTGTAGTCTATACGTAGCAAGGGAGACATCACATGAGATTTTCTAGAATCATTTGATGACGTTACCCTTAGAAATAATAAGTTTTTTATACTGCCACCTAGCACTATAAACAAGTTGTGATCTCTTCTTTCTCTTGCAGAACCTGCACAGACTGTCTTCGACCAGACCAGTTTTACTCGGATGTTTTCAGTGGCCCATATTCATCTGTAACCTTCAATGGTACTTTGAAGAACTGTTCAGCTTGTGTTGATCCAGTGTCTTACCATCATTGGTGCGTTGTTTTGTTACCAATTCTTGCATGAATCTACTAGTAATGGTACAAGAGATGGATGAGTCCATTCCTTAGCCTTTAGGATTTGATATCCTAGGATCACATCGTTTGTGAGATCCTAACCAATGACCACCGCTTCCACTTGGAAATCTGAGACGTATGTTTCTATACCAAGACGAACTTCATCGTAAATTTTTTCAAAAGTAGTTGTTTTCTCGGCGTAGAAACAGACGTTGTAATAAATATTTGGCGTCCAGGAATTTAACCGAAAACCCTCGTCCCAATTTTCGGCTTCTGTTTAAAATTTACCGCGTTACGTGTGAACGGCGTGCCCAGGCAGTCGATCGGACCCCGCAAGGCGGGTGCCGTGCATAATAAATGTTTAAAAAGCTTTCCGTGTTTTTACGTCGCTCCGCTTCGTGTGTGCCTGCCACCGGCCGATCCGCAAACAAAATATGAAACGTTTCCAGATCGGACGGGAAATATTGACAAATTTATTTACGATTAGGGGGCGGCGCACGGCATCGCGCATTTTTACATGTCGGCAAATATTGACATTGCCGCTGTCGCAGGTCTTGCGGATTACAGGACGCTTTTGTCCAACTCTGACGGTTTTGGAAGCGTTTTTGTGTTTGTCGTACGCGGGACAAAGCCGGTTACTTTGAATAGAACCGTAGCGATCACAGAAGATGTAAAACTGGAAATAATCCAATAAATAAAATCTTCAAATTTCACCCATGTTCTGAATCGAAACAGAAAGTGACCCATAGAACCCAAAAAGGTTATAAAAACGTTCAGACAAAACTGTGCTTGTTCGAACACATGCAGAATCCGATGGTGGGGAATTAATATTTTCACGGACTTTTCCAAATTTGCCATTGAAGCAGTCCATAGAGACCAAGATCGGACACAGAAAGCCAAAGCAGACGAATTCTGTAAAATGGTGGGTCAAGAGAGCACCAGGGATCGCCAAAATCCAGATAGACCAAAAGCAAGAAACGACAGCGGAGATCCAGGACGAGTAATGGCGGAACCTTCTATAGTTGTGATCGAACGTCGACCCTAGTTTTCCTCAATTAATTAACCAGAGTCTGCCAGTACAAGTACGACTCGAGAAAATCGAACATTTAGAGAGAAGCATTAGCATTACAAAAGAACATGTCTTCTACTTGTCCGATACACAAACAAGACTTGTTAAGAAAAACAATAAAAATACTGGTTCACGGTTAACCTTTCTGGAGTCTGTCCGAACATGACATGTGCCTCTCTGCCCCTCTCCGTCTGTAATTATAAATTCATAAATTTCAAATAGTTCCGCTGAAATCCTCCTGGAAGGCGGCCAGAGCTCGCGCTCGTACCGGTTCAAAATAATTCATGTCGGTAGAGTGGAGTACATATTCCACTCCATTATTAACAGAACACAAAAATATTTATGAACACAGTCTATGAATATTATTTACATGCTCCACCCCGTCGTACACCAGAACAAAATCGTTGGAATGTACCTCGATGGCTGTGGGATTATTTA